TACTGAGAATCAGATTTTCAATTAATCAGCAACAAGTTATATATATTATAAGTTATATATATATTTTTTAACTAAATAGGATATGTGCAGGGCAAAGCGCAGAAAATTTTCCAAATTCTAAAATAATATTTTGGGGAATATTTCTGTTCGAGACTGTCTGCCGAAACCGTAGTCATCAATTGTATTGCACTTGGCCGATTGGCCGGATTTGATCGTAAAATTGCGGGAGGGAGGAGGTTGAGTTAAATTTTCCAAATGTATTCAATTTCCCAACTTCAATCTGTTCTTTTGGAGCATTAAATGCAGACGTGTGTTTAGTTACCAAGTCGCAGTTCAGATTATCTGCTTGAAATTGTTAGTGATTGTGTATAGTGACTTTATCATAGTGTCAATTGTTTACATATTTGTGCCATGGAGCCTCCCATGAAAAGGTTTGAAAACAATGAGCCTGACATTGACTGGGAACTTCGTTTTGCATGTACGAGAATTGGTGAGAGAACATTGTGTTTATTGTGCGAATGCGAATTTACCTGCATGCGAAGATTCAATGTTGAGAGACATTACAAAAGCAAGCATGCAGCTTTTGACAGGACTTTTCCCCTAGAGTCATTAGCGCGAGCTAATGAATTTCGCGTTGTGAAAGCCAAACATTTGTCATCAACAAATGTTTTGGAGAATCAAGTTTCTTCTCTCAACGGAAACACTCCTCTTCAACTTGCTCACAAAATCAGAAATGATACGTGCAAGGGATCTCCGGCATTTAATAATAAATGGGAACATTGCTATGCATGCAGCAAAATCGGTGAAAAGGTTCTATGTTTATTGTGTCATTTGCAATTTAAAAGCATGAGGTGCTTTAACATTGAGAGGCATTATAGGCAAAATCATAGTAGCTTCGATTTGAGTTTTCCACTTCATTCGGACAACCGCGTTAACGAAATCCGGGTTTTAAAAGAGAGAATTTTAGCGTCCGAACATTCAAATGATGTTTTGTGCAATGATGACCTTCAAACCGCGAATTTAATGTCATTTCAAGCCGCCTATCAAATCGCGAAAGACAAATCGTCATTTACTGCCGGTGAAAAATATAAAGAGCTTTTTGTAACCCATATGGATACGTTATTTCGGGGAACTTTGTTGAACAAGAGAATGAAAAGATTTGTTGAAAATTTACCATTATCGAGACGTACAATAATGCGAAGAATTGAAGCAATCGGTGCTGACCTCCGGGCTCAATTAACAGATGACTTTTCTCGTTGTTGTTTTTTTTCCTTTCAATTAGATGAATCTACGGATAGATCCGATTGCGCTCAAGTCGTCATCTTCGTTCGTTTAGTTTTTCCCGATCTGTCTATTCGCGAAGAGTTATTTACATTATTGTCCTTAAAAACGAGTACGAAGGGTGAAGATATTTTTGATGCTCTGAAGCAAAGTTTCATTTCCGCGAAAGTGCCACTTCACAAATTAGTAGCTATCACCTCGGATGGTGCTGCGAACATGACTGGTTGCACGAAAGGTTTAATTGCGAGGTGTAATAATGACGCTGCGTTCCCTAAATTCCATCATTATCACTGCATGTTGCACCAGCTAGCTTTATGCGTTACAAAAATTTCGGGCGATGTCATAACATTAGCAGTTAAAATAATTAATTCGATAATTTCAAAACCCTTGCAGCATAGACTGTATAATGTTTTCAAAGAAGAGAATAATTTAGAATCTACCGATTTATTGTTTCATACAGAAGTTCGGTGGCTTAGCAAGGGGGTTATGCTGTATCGGTTCTGGGAAAATTTAGATGATATTGTTTCTTTTTTAAAATCACGCGGAGATGTACACGATGAATTGAATGATGTGGAGTGGCGCTCGAAATTGGCATTCACCGCGGACTTAACAGAGAATGTCAATATTTATAATAAAGAGATGCAAG